ATAGAAGGCCAAACAATGAAAAAAGACTTGGCAATAAACAGTGACAATAAAGCATAGCCTTCAAAAGATTCCTAGAAGCTAAAAATCCTTTAAAAAGACTACATAAAAAAATATAAACACTATGTGGCAAAAAATGCATATAAATGTGTGTGTGTGTTCATTAGGCTCTGTTTCTTACTGTAATTTAATGCCTTAATATACAATATAACATTTTATTATGTAAACATCCAACTAATTATTGTCAATTCATTGAGATGGTTATTATATTTTTTTTTTAAAGGAGATATTCATAAACGTTCCAAAATGGAACAGTACATTTTGATGCAACATTTAGCTTGTCTCCATGTTCTCAGTTTGTCTGTTTAAGAACCATGAGCTGTTGGTCAGAGTTTCTTTTTCGATTAATCCAAAGAAGGAAGCAGAGAAAGACTACTGCAGCCATCTAAAGGCCACCGCACACCAGATGACAAACGCTGTGCAGCTATACCACACAGAAAGTGTTGCAGTAAAGCGCTGATAAACAACAAGCTCATTGTACACTCAACCTGTATAGATTTAATGGAATAAACCACTTTATCACTTTTGGTGTTAGCTAATTAACTCTTCACAAACTCTCTATTTCCAAGCTAAAAGGTATAAGATAAACTAAGATATCGATAAAACTAAGATAAGAAGTTTTCGGAACAAAACCTCGTATCTCCATAATGGTAACTTTACAGGAGAAGGAAAAAACATCCTTTACTTTTAATGCAAATCAATGGAACCAGACTTTTTCCAAGACATTTTGGCCCATTTCCTTTGGTTCACGTATCATGAAATTTACATAAAATGTAAAGGACAATGGGTATTTTCAAATTATGTCAAAAACTGAAAAATGACAGAAATAGAGATACAAGGTTTTCTTCCGACAGCAGCGATATGACGTGACTAGCTCAGTAACATTACCTGAAGTTAAAAACATATGCTTAGCCTTTGTTTGTTTACCATAAAGATGTTAGATTGTTTGTCTTTCTCTGTGTAAATTTTAAGCCACGTTATCTACCAGGAATTTGTGGTCTGGGTTTAATATAGTACGTATATAGTAAGATGCTGTCTTAATATATTGCAGTGCAGTAAGATGCTGAGTGCTGTTTTTATTTTATTTTTTTTGGACGCTGAATGTCGTCCAGCTGATGCATCCGGCGTGATGTGTACTACCTCTGCGTGGCATGAGCGTGTGCTGCTTTTCATTTAACAGGTCAGAGTGCCTCAGATGTTCCACCGGGCTCTTTTGTGACTTCCTGGATGAGTAATCGCTGTGCTCAGATCCTTCGAAATGGCTTTGTAGCACTTTTCAATATGATTTCAATAACTTTCACATCTGTTCCGAAATGTCTTTTGATCGTGGCATTTTGGGCCGCCTGTTGAGACCTTTTAGCCTATTTCGCGCTGCTGGAAAGGTTCTGTTTAACTGGCAGTAATCAAGCCTGGGTGTGTCTACTTTAATTGATCCCAATTATCAAATTAATCTGGTAGACTAAGTAACTAAGGGGATTACTTTTTCACACAGGGCCAGCTGGTGTTTTTTTGCTTCAATGAAAGAAATGATCACTTAAAAACTGTGTTCTGTGTCTTTGTCTTATATTAAATTTTGATTAAAGATCTGAAACAAACAGAAATTTTGACACATATGCAAAAATAGAATGAATCATGAGGGGCAAATACTTTTTCACAGCCCTGTATGAATGCTGCCATGTCACTCATGTCATGCAGAGTGAGTATGTGTGAAACAGGCCATTTTTGTCCAGCATTTTTCAAAGAATTCCTTACAAATTTGTACATCAAACTTGACTGAAATGCTCATCCTCACTACAAATACAGCTTCAAACAATCAAGACTGAAACAGTAAAAAGCAGCACTGAAAAGACCTCCACTTTGCACTATTAAGCCTGGGCGCAGTCTTAAAATGTACAAAACAGATGTTCTTAACGGGGATTTAAAGCACAAGACGTTCTCCAGTTCCAGTCTAATCTCAGGTGTTATTCCCTACTAGGTGTAAAACATACTTTTAAGTGAAGGAAAAGAAACGGAAATTCTTGGTGGCTTCGCTTTGATCGCCAAGACAGAAAACTCTGTGGTTACGTCTACAGTCCTCTTCTTCACAGCGCTGCTGTTTTGCGCGCTAAAAGCTGTGTAAACTGTACCGCCTGCCTGTCTGAATGAAAGCTCCCTCGCTGCATCTTACATAATGGAGCAATGCTAAAAATAAGGCTTTGCTATTAAAAAAGGCCTTTCAGCAGCACTTTCACCCACTGCAAAGCAGAAGTCTTCCGAGCTGCAGCTGTCTAAGGCCAGGTGAACATGTCAAATCCATTAAATACGCAACACAAGAACATTTTCTTCTGTTGGACATTAAACAAGAGTTTTCCAGAAAGTTTCCCAGTACAGGGAGAGAAATGACTTGGCTATGAAAGTTTAACAAACAGTACCCTTCAAAAGTTTGGACACGGCAACTCAAGGAAGGGCTTAATACACTCGCCCGGCTCAAACATGTCAAAGAGAACCAGCCCACTAATTTAACAAGGCACACTTAGTAATTAGAACGGTTTAATAATAGTGTATCAACATAAGTAAATTTCATTGAAGTATTGAATTACATCATTAGGAATGTCCCGCTACCACTCTGGTGGGCATTCTGACTGTGCTCTGAGCTGTTGCTGCAGCTACAATCCTGCAGGTGGATGAAGGCCAAGCAAAATGGACAAGAATGACCACAAAAAAGATGAAAAGATATGTGGATGCTTTACATACACAGATTCCGAAAGAATACTTGGCAAAAGAGAAAATGCCAGTCTTGGAATGATCTGTTTAAAATGAATGACACTTGGATGTTTTGTTTCCTAACGCAATAAACTTAATACATTTTAAAGTTTTTTTAAATATTATTATAGTGTAAAGGTTTTGTTACTTTTCTATTTATAATGTTTATATTGTTAATGTAATAATAAATAAATGTTTATATTGTTTATGTTGTGAAGGACAGAGTTTGTATTTTTTTTCTTTAGTATTATATATTATCTATACAGTAATAAGTAACAAACTCTAACCTTGTTAAGTAATTAACAGGCTTAATTACCTTGTTACTTCTTTTCTTGAGTGCCTTGCTATCGCTTTGCTGCTGTAGCACTGTGAATTTCCCATTGTGGGACTAATAAAGGGATTATCTTAACTTATCTTAAGTGTTCATGACTTGATATAATAATGCCCTTAACCCTTGTGTGGTGTTGATGTTTTTGTTACTCGGTGAGTCTGGTGGACCCACCGCATTACTGTTTAAATCAATACAACCATAACAATTTATGTAAAAATACCAGATGTTTAAAATATCACAAGTGGCCAGCATAGAGTTCTCCTTTAGCAGCTGTAGCCAGTCAGCAGCCTGTCCATGTTGTCCACACTCGCACACATATACAAACACACACAGACACACACACACTAACAGCAGGCCATGTAGGAGGAGAACAGAGTGAAGGGACACAGCACACACTTTTATTCCCCATGGGTTCCGAACACCACATGTGTAATATAAATGTGTGGGGGCTGTACAGTGTGAAGTCACTGAAAATGTGTTATTTTATATATTCTTCACAGAAAATGAGTAAAGGCCAAGGAATCTGAGGTTGAAATAATAATAAATCGCATAATTTTTTCTTTTGGTACACACTGAAAATGGGTCCCACAGACCCCAACACCACACAAGGATTAAACTAAAATAGTAATACATTTACAATGTATAACACTTTCATTATCAATCGTGTTCGCCTATCATTCAATTGAAAAAAATATGCAATGCTAAAATGAACCACATGGATAAAAATATATAAATAATACATACAACAAGCTTAAATATGGCCTTTTTCTACAAATTCTACTGCACAGTTTCTGTTTATTTGATGGCTTTAACGTATTGGAAAAAAAATAAAACATAAGATATAAAATGTGTCTTAACTTTTACTTAGGCTACATTTTATGTTTTTTGTTAAATTCAGTAAAAACTTCAACAAAACATGTAGTTTGACCAGGGGTGCCTAAACTTTTGCATACAACTGTACATAAGCTGTTCATAAATGCTCAACTTTTGGGTTTTAATTGTGTTATTTAAGGCTTATGCGTTTTGTATGAAGTCCCGAAAAATAAAGTCCTGTGTGCCCAAACTTCTGACTTGGACTGTAAGTCAGCTTGCTGTGGGGGTGAATGGACAGAGGTACCAGTGGTGGAACTGAGGTTTGATTTACACCAAAACTCAACAAGAACCATGCCCAGCCATTAATCCTCGAACAAGACTCATGAGCAGATGAGTCTGGATTTGATTTCGCTGTGACTAAAAAGCCAGAGATACATAATCCCTGTTCTCCTGGGAGAGGTATAAAGAAAGAAAGAGACAGACATTTGGGCTTCTGCTCTTCTGAAAAGGAGCATTCAGGACATACTGCGGCACAGGGGAAGGGCAGGGGATGATAAAAACGATCCCGACTTGAAACGCGTGCTATTAATAATACGTCCTGTGTAGGTATTTGAGCCGTGTTTCAGGAAGAAAAGCCGAATGGCAGCTGCTCCGGTCTAAAGCGCGCTGCAAGGTCGGGAAAGCAGTGAGGCTCTACTCTCCACCTTCATTATCCAGCACAGATCAGCCATTTGTGTTTGGCCAGAGGTGCTGAAATGAAATGTGATGCACTCTATGTCTACCATTATTCTGCTTTCTCTCTCCCACTCTGCTCAAAAACTCACTCTTTTTGTGTCTATGGCTTTGAATCTCTCTCTGTATACATATATATATATATATATATATATATATATATATATATATATGTGTGTGTGTGTGTGTGTGTGTGTGTATGTATACTTTCAACTGTTCTTTTATTCATAACATCAAACTCAGGGAGCTGCTAAACAAGTTTCATTGTACTTATACAATGATAAAGAAGGAATTCATTCACTCGTCTTCATCTCTGCCCACTTACCTTCCCAGGAAGCACTTGGGGAAGGTGGTGAGTTTGCGCTTTCTGTCCTTAATGAGGTGGCCCTGTTTACTCATGAGGTTGTAGAGCTTCTCTCCTTTCTCTGAGATCATCACCCAGGTATCCTGCTCCATCCCCAACCTCAGAGCTTCAGGACAGAGAGGGAGAGAGAGAAGAGCTGATTATGAGAGAGTCAAGATTCAGTGATGCTGTACGTACACTTCCTACGATTCACTCAGTGGTCTTAACTCTTTACAGTTACAATTACAGTTATCACCACTCACAGCAAAAGTACGCTGTGATTTTCTACGAATGTTTTCTCACTTTTAGCTCCCTGAAATAAATAAATAAATAAATTCTCTGAACTCCTCTGAACTTTCTAATCATACTACGTTTGTATTTGTGAGTAGAAGAGTATATATTTTATCACGCCTTAAATTTGAGTTCATGTTCTTGTTTTATGCAGACAGAAAAATGTCCTTTACAATTTTTTTCCAATTTTTGTTATTTTTGTAGTATTTAAGACCAAAAACAGTAGAACACAAAAATAACTCTCAGTCTCAAGCGTTTCCATGAACTACTTAAACAGAATTACATAGTTTAATACATAAGTAGTTACATAATAAATTACATTAACATTGGATTTCCATTGCATAATTGCTTAAATGTAATTTCACGGTTATTTACAAAGTTAGCTACACAATGAACTACACTGACGTTCAGTTTATACTCTGTATCGACAGGTTTGTATCTGCACTTTTGCCTTTTTGTGCTTGTTTCTATGGCAAAAAATAATAAAAACATGGCAAAAATGAAAAGGGTGTGTTCTTCTGCAAAACCAGACTGTACTCTCAACAACACATTCATCAATTTCGAGCGCTGAATGAGAAATAATTAGGCCTAATATAAATAACACCATGCTTATATTATCACCAGTGAAAAATGAGACTTCTAAGAGCTGAGATTAATTACCTGCATGGATTATATATCACAGGTAGCTACAGAACAGATCAGAAGCAGGAGAGGCTAACTGCGTCATGACTGCAGGCTAATTACCACCAAAACTTCAACTTTACGCTAACTGCTTCTGACACGCTTAATTAGACGCTGTGTAAACTGTTTTATGCCTCGCCACCTGCCATCAGTTTCTTTTCCCCGCACTCACTTTTCCTCCTCTCCCGCTCCTTCAAGATGGCCTCCAGCCACTCCTGCTTCTCCTCCGGCGTTTTGGCCATGCACACAAACCACTTGTTCTTCGCCGTGTTGTGGATTTTCCAGCCGTTGTTGACAATGTTGCCACTGCTGTGGTAGTCCGCTGAGAAACGAGAAGGACAAGAAAGGTCAACCTGTAATTAATGTGCAAATGTCAGACCACTCTTAATCTGTTTAAATTCCAGTCCAAACAGCCATTATGTGCAAATTATTCACTTTCAGCGTCAGGAAAAACATATAATTAACAGAAGCCTCAACAAATAAATATAATATCATTTCAGTATTTATTATGTCCACTCTTTACCTTTATTACAACTTCCATTCTTTTCAGGAGACTTGTTTTCAGTTTTTTTAAGAAATCTGCATTTCACACCTCCAAAGTTCAGTCTTAGAAGTTGCTTCTCTCATATGAAGTAATCCCAAATACATTCAGTGATGTTGAGGTCTGGACTCTGGGTGTGGTCAGTCCATAGTTCTGAGAACACCAGCAGCTTCTTTGTTTAATTTCATGCTTCTCGGGTTTCTTTGTTTCACTTTTTTTCTATTTCCTTTTCTCAGTGAGGGCTTCTTGACAGCTACACATCCTTCCATTCTTTATTCATATTTCTGAACTTAACAATATTGCAAAATAAGGTCAATCCAGCCTCCATACAGTGTGCTCAGTTAGCCAGTCCACTAACTACAGTTCATATATATATGTGTGTGTGTTTGTATGTGTATGTAATTGTCAGTGTTTCTGCTATCTATCTATCTATCTATCTATATATATATATATATATATATATATATATATATATATAGTTAGATAGATAGATAGATAGCAGAAACACTGACAATTACACTTTTTGGCCATACAGCAACTTTTAGACATCACAGTATGTTCCCTACATCTGTTCGCTAGTCCTCTGAAGCAGCGCAGACATAGAGATGTATATTACTGTCCAGAGCACTGAGCGTATGTGCAGATGAAAACATTCCAACATGAAACAGGCAATAAACAAAGTGCCCTTTCCAAAACAAAGGAAAATGTAAAAGCCGGAGGCCTCATTGACTGGCCTCATTACAACATGATGGAGAATTGACACGAAACTGCAGCCTGCAGTAAAATCCAGAGTTCATGAGAGATCATGATTACATCTGCAAATCATGTGGTAAGAACATAAAACAATATAAAACAAAGCCTTCAAATCTCTTTTAAGCTTAGGACTTTGAAGAGAGCGTGTGTGTGGTGGGAGTTTCACAATGGCTCTCGGTTGTTTTAAGTCGAGATAAGTCCTTTTTTGTGAAATGTCTACAAAGGCTGTTCCGCTGAGTATGTTTTTGAAACAAGCTGTGCCCTTTAAACCACCCAGAGATTCAATTTAATGAAATCTGAGGGATTACTTCGTTAATTTTACAGGTAAACACCCAAAGACAAGCAAAATGGCACTATTTGTTGATTTGAAGAGTTTTGTCTTCCTCAAACTGTGAACACCATACAATAGCAGTCAGAAGTTAGGGCCCACTTGACTGACAGTGCTTCTTGCCATCTTAAAGATATAATCGACTTGAATCATAAAATAACATAGTCAAATAAACACTTTTTAGTGTTATCAGATTAACTAGAACACTGCTGGCTCTCTGTGCGACTATGTGTTGAGTTGCTAGTGAGCAATGAGGAGTGAAAGGGGAGGGGTGAGGGCCCACTGCTGGGAAAACAATTCACACCTCTCCACAAAGACGGCCGTATCTAGATAAAACGGACAGCAGAACTGCAGTTTTCTTTGTATCAAACAATTCTGGCTCTACTACAAAGACAAAAATGCAGTTTGCTTCTGGTTTTTGTAAATCATGCATTTCCATCGACATATAATAACTGTGGAAAAAAGGCATCAACTGGGGGCCCACCAACAGGCATAAATTGCATTTTATGAATAATGAGAAAAAGGGACTAAGGCAAATATAAATATTAATGATTTTTTATCCCTGTTTTGAAATACAAGAATACCACAATCACCCCATTTACTATTTGTGCCTTAGTTAATGTGCCTCCTAATTAATGAGGTCAGATGTGTTGTGATGGTAGGCAGGGCCTTAACAGCTCTATTTGGTATAAGGCCAATAATTCTGATTACGTTAATTCCACATGTGTTAGGAAATCATTTTTCCCCACTGACTGAAATACAACTTTCATCACAATACTTACAAACTATCAACATATAAGCATGTTTTTACTGTAAGGCTAATATTAATACCAATCAATGTTATTAGTGCTACAGGCATTTATCTAAGACATTGACATTGATATATTACAGTGGTGCTTGAAAGTTTGTGAACCCTTAGAATTTTCTATATTTCTGCATAAATTTGACCTAAAACTTCATCAGTTAAACAAATGTGACAACGATATTTGACTTGGTCATTTATGTAAATAAAATAAAATTATCCAATATTACATATCTGTGAGTGGCAAAAGTATGTGAACTTTTGCTTTCAGTATCTGGTGTGACCCCCTTGTGCAGCAATAACTGCAACTAAACATTTCTGGTAATTGTTGATTAGTCCACATTGGCTTGATGGAATTTTAGCCCATTCCCCCATACAAAACAGCTTCATCTCCGTTATATTGGCGGGTTTCCTCCCATGAACTTCTTCAGGTCCTTCCACAACATTTCTTTAGGATTAAGGAATTTGACTTGGCCATTCCAAAACATTAACTTTACTCTTCTTTAACCATTCTTTAGTAGAATGACTTGTGTGCGTAGGGTTGTTGTCTTGCTGCATGACCCATGTTTTCTTGAGTTTCAGCTCACGGACAGATGTCCTGACATTTTCCTTTAGAATTTGCTGGTATAATTCAGACTTCATTGTCCAGGACTTGTGTGAAAATCTTATGACGTTTTAGGTGAAATTTATACAGATATATAGAAAATTCTAAAGGGTTCACAAACTTTCAAGCACCACTGTGTAATTCATGTTAATTTATTACATTGCAATAAGCTATTTTGCGGGAATATTTACTCCAGTTCTTTGGTTTTTTCAGGAGTAAACATATTTAATATGGAAGCATCTTGCTCTTTTCCCCTGACTGCATAGTTTTGATGTTGTTATTGTTATTCTATAATGTGGGAAATAAAAAAAAACTTACAACAAGCAGATGCGTCCAAACTTTTGACTGCTACTGTATGCCCTTATCACGGCTGACTGGCCTGAGTGTTGCATTGATTACATCTCTCTACATCTCAGTTGCAGACATATTACAGCAGAGACAGCCATCGATCTGTTGTACAGCTGCAGTCAGACAGAATTCCCCACTGAAACGCATCTGTCATTGATTCAACCTGCTGTTTAACGGGACTTTAAGCCTGTGCGCTGCATATTTTTACACTCTAACCTTGTGTGACGGCCGAAAGCTGCAGTCACGCTAGACATTTGCAGTTTGCAATGCCTTGAGAAACGGGCGTGACCGAGGCCGGTCTGGAAGATTGCAGACAACAAAAATATTCCATATTGGTGCAGTTAGCAAGCCAGCTAACTCTCTATCCATAAACAGTAATGACACAAAAGTGAACATTAATTCATGTTCAATAATTACATATACTCATGGTACTATAGTGCTCCACACTAAGTTATGTCAGATAACGATAAACTCGCCACAGCAGATTGGTGTGGTTGGTGGCAATAGGGTGACTTGTGCACAGCCATGGAGCTAACATTGTAGACAGTAAGCTGGCTAACACGTCTAAACCAAACAGTAAAATGATCAACATAAAGAAAATAATACAGTGTCTCAATTGACTGAGTCTCTCTTTCATGTGTTTATTTGCAGTCAGTGGGGAAGAAGTGGTAAAATGTTTGTGCATTAACTCTGTTTTCAGGGTTCAGTGCTATAAGGGGCCACCACTTCAGAGGTCAAACCAGCTAAAGCAGTAGTGCCATCAGCACTATCAGCTGCAAATTTGTTTGTCAAAGGTCACCAAAGGTGACACAAAGTTTTGCAGACGAAACTTATTCAAGTCATAACTCTGTGATGCACTAAAATGAATATAGTTTAGCTCACATATATTCGCTGGCAGGTGTATTTGGGCTTTAAGAGCTTTTTGTCATTAATTGATATTAGTGTTTAAGTCAAGACCACTAGAGACAAGTCAGAGTCAAGATCGAGACCTGGACACATCGAGTTCAAGTTGAGGCCAAGAGTCTGTAGCTGTTGAGTCCAAGTCAAGACCGAGACTAGACTGAGACCAGGAGTGGCTGAGACCAAGACAAGAAGTGGCCAAGACCAAGACAAGATCAAGACCAGGAATGGCTGAGAGCGAGACAAAACTGAGACAAGAAGTGGCCAAGGCCGAGACAAGGCCGAGACCAGATTAACAGTTTTTCAGAAAATAAAAAAACAGAAAGAAGAAGTTCATATGTAGTTCATTGTACATTCATTATTATCCATTATATTTTATAAATATTAAGAAATAATATTATATTTTATATATCAATATATTATATATTACATTATATTACATTTTATTTATATTTATACATTTATATATTTTAGTATTTTGCCTGGTTTTGTTATTACATTACTGTGATGTCTATTTGAACAGGACTATTGTTAATGATGGTGCTTTAAGATCAGCAGATTATAGAAAGTAATTCACACCAGAAATATTACTTAGCAGGACATTGCAGATTCATACTGGATTAAAATCACGGATGTCTTCGGTAATCACTCAAATTGCAGCACCTCCCCAGATAAAACTAATCCAGCTCCAACAGGCCTTTATACACATTGGAACTTGGAGTGCGCTTTATGTCATAAACTTTGTTACTGTACTTAAGTAAAATTTTGACATATCTTTACTTGAGTATTTCGGTCACTTAATACTTTTTACTTTTACTTTCTATATTTCAAAAGAATAATCTGTACTTTGTACTCTTAACACTTTCAAACCAGGGACCCAGAGAAACATGTTCAGCTGAGCTCTACATGTGTCACTTTTTACGAGGCAACCAATCAAAAAAGAGGACAGGTAAAACTGAATTGCAGAGGAACGCGTGCTGAACATTAAGACACACATTTTTTTCACATTTGTGATTTAACATCTTAAAATCCCTACATACTTATTAAGTAACTACAGGGACTTCAATCCAAACTGGCAGGGCTATTCTTAGGTTACAGAAGTGTGTAATAAAACGTCAGGGCCCACTAGCAGGCCCATGGCTTGTTAACAGGTTAACAAATACTCAGCTTAAAGATAGCTATTAATTCACTGGCATTTGTGCCATCCTCTGCATTGCTATCACTGAGGTTTGCTAAAAGAACTTGAGAAGTAAACGAGTACTCCTCCCCACTGTAGCCTGGTTAGCGTTTCACTTTAATGTAGAAATACAATGATGAGCCTCTTTGCTGGTTGCGGTGTTCTAGCCACTTGCTAATATTGCTAACGTTCACATGGGCTGACTGGGAAGAATTAAACCTGCTGGACTCTTTTCTCCTCATCTTTCTCCTCCAAAACGAAGCGCAGTAAGTGCTAGTTTCTTTTGTCTGTTCATTTAGTGTGATGTCTGATGTGGTGTAGAACTTTTCACCCACAACACCACCCATAAAGATCCTTCTCCGCTTTGCAAGAGTTATTACAGGCAGATTCCTCATGGCTAGATGCACAGATTTTTTGTGGAAAGCACTCCATGGTCTGAACACAGCCATAGAATCCAGATAAATTGCTAGTGGCGAACCAGTGCATATTCTGGAATGTAAAAAAAAAAAATAAAAAAACATCCATGACCTTACTTACAAGAAAAAAAATGACATGGTTGGTTCAAAAAAACAATTTTTGGTATCTGCTATACAGAAAAAAACACAAAAGATTTTGCAGATCTAGCATAAACCATTACTTACGCTTAACGAACACCCTATTTCAAAAATTGAATTAGAAACACGTTTTAAATGTTTACTCTTTACTGTAAGTACATCTACTTTTACTTTAGTATAAGATTACTAGACCACTCGTCTAGACCACCAGACCAGAGTACCTGTACTTTTATTTAAATAATTGCAATACAACCATCCACAAGCCTTGGAGAAGCATTTTACAGTCGTGCATGGCACATCTCCATCAACCAAACTACTTTCATTACATGTGAGTTGAGCCCCAGTAATAACGTGGCTCTGTACTTCAGCCTGAGACATGGAGGGTTTGGAGTAGAACACCCACGATCCACTGTTTTCCCTCTGTAGCCTGAAACGCATCCATCTCTTAAAAAGCCTGATATTAAGTCCGCCGGGGACCAAATGATTGCTTCTGTAAATATAACTGATAATCAGCGCTCCTCCTCAGCCAAGACACACTCAGCTCAGAGTTCAGAAAGTGCCTGAGCTCCGAGGCCCTGTCATCTCGCCCAGAAAATGGCATTTTTCTAACCTTTTCTAAGCACTTAGACGCCACCCCGCCCAGCTAGCGCAAGGAGCCGTTCCAGAAATAAGTGCTCAAGGCTGCTGCAGCATGGCAGAGAGCGCAAAATGTCATTTTTCACCCGTCAGAAATTCACGCGGGAGATGAAACTCCATCATAAGCCATTAGCTCAGCAGATGGGTTTGGTTACTGCACATGGCAAGCATGGCCTTTGATTAATGTGCACAGATACTGTTCCGTCTTTCATGACCTGCGTGATGTCATCAGGACAAACACATAGACAGTTTTATATACGGTTGTGTGACCGGCTTTGATATCAGCTGGCTGCCCTACCAGCTGAGTGTCCTGTTATCTTCAAATGCAAAGTGAAGACTCACCTTTGATAATGAACATGAACACTAATTGACCTGTCAGTGCTCTGCCCACTAAGGTGTGCTTTAAGGCGTAGTTAACGTTGCAAGGGCAAGCTTTACAGTGCGTTAGCAAAAAACTCATTCAACCTAACGAGTTGTAGCGTGCAATCAGAATTTAAATTGAATTTTTTTTTCCAAATACGCTAGATTTTCTAAGACTGTAGCTTATCGTGCAAATTCAGAATTGCACTGCCCATATTTCAAACAATAAACACATCTCTGCTGTCCAAACAAAAACATGTATCTCCATCACCTTTTTCTACATCATCTGTAGGCAGCAGCTGTGCTTTACATTGTGTGAACATTTTATGATGAATGGACCAATAGAAATTCTCCAAAATTCCTTGGAATAAAAGAGAAACATGTAGAAACATTGAATTCTACTAAAAAATTAAGAATGTTTTTGCGTTCTTCTGTAAAGTTACTATTTTGGAGATAATTCTGTTTTTGTACAGCGACAATATTTTAAGATCTTTGCCCATTAGAGAGAGAATTCATTTTAAAATTTGACTTTTGCTTCATAAATGTTTACATAACCAAGCTCCAGGTTATTTAAAGGACCTTCTTCAGATTCAAGGAATCACTTAGATCTGGTTCCTAAAAGCTGCTGATAGTTCCTTCTTTAAAGTTACGGGTCATCATGCTTTTAGTGTACTGGGTCCAGAATTCTGGAATGAGCTTCCCGAGCCTCTTAGAAATTCTGGATCTTTATCTTTTTTTAAGAATAAATGTTAAGACATAACTTTTTCGAAGTGTTTTCATTAATTATTTTTGTTGCTGTACTTTTTTCTATTAAATAATAACAGTAATTATTATTACGTCCACTAACTGCTCACTTGTGAGGTGCAGCATTTAAAAGACACAGAGAAATAATGGAGCCATGAAGAAGTAAAACAAAACAGAGAATGAAAGCTCAGTAGTGAAGAGACAGCAGTGTTACTAAAAAGTTTTTTCCCCACCAAAACATCCTACAGGAGCGTAATTCTACTCCAGCTAAAATAACAGTGTTTGTGAAACGATAACACAGACTGTGGGTGCATATTGTGGACAAAGTTTAAACAGTTTTATACTGATGGTAAACATTCATCAGGCACATGTTCGGAGCTCAAAGCGTTTAGACACTCTGCTGTCTGCTGCTGTTGCTAAAAGAAAGACAAACAACAGCAAAGTGTTTAGAGACTCTAAAACAAATTACGTCAGGTGCGGAAATTCCTTGCATGACTGGCCACCTTGAGTCGTTCGTAGAATTAAACATATGTAATATCTCCACCCACATTTTGATTGATCCTCAATCCCCTTATCGCTCTTGTTAGTATGGTGGACAGTATTTCCGCCTGTGATGTGGAGGACCGGGGTTCGATTCCCTGATGGGGGGGCTTTGCCCTTTTTCAGGGGGCAGTTGTGGGCTGGAGGTTAGGGAAGGTCACCAGTTCGATCCCCTAAGCCGACAGTATGTGACTGAAGTGCCCTTGAGCAAGGTACCTAACCCCCAACTGCTCCCTGAGCGCTGTGGATAGGGCTGCCCACCACTGCTGGCAAGTGTGCTCACTGCTCTCTAGTGTGTGTGTTCACTAGTGTGTATGTGGGAGATGAGAAGTATGATATTATTGGTTAATATTATTTTCATCTCACTTAACTCAGTCGGCTAAGCCCTGCACACATACCTGTACCATCATCCACATTCTCCACCTCCATCACCTCAGTGTTGATTCGACCCCGGAACTGATACCGAGGGCCCTCAGTGGCCGCCTTACTGTTCTTCAAACGCCTGCAACACAACAGAAGCACCTCCAGAATCAGAATAAACAACCGCCATAGTTGAATCGGGCATTTTGTAGAAGACAAAATACAGAGAAACCAAAGCAGAGAACCCAAAATATGGAGGGTAGGGAACTCCAGGATGAGGGGTGGGAATGTTATTACATTACACATATTAAAAGTCAAGGTTCCTGAATGTTTTTTTTGTATTTGAACAAGGAACCTTTAGATTATGTGGCAGTTCTTTAGACTTTTAAAAGGTTCTTCACACAACACTGTCTTAAAAATGAAGTCATTCTTTAGAGAAATGCCAAAGAAGAACCATTCAACCTTTCAGTTGAATGATTCCAAGTGAATTCTTTAAAGGAGCATCCTCTGAAAGGTTCTTTATGGAACCAGAAGTGTTTTTTTTTTACTGATTTTAACTGAATTCATAAAAACATACACTCGTTAAAATGTTCTTTAGGATACTTCATTGGTATTTTCCAAAATAAAACTTTTTAATTTCCATCTTCTTCCATCTTTGTCCTCAGACAGACAGAACGCTCACCTATTCTTCTTCTTGCAGTAGACCAGCAGGTTATCGAAGAGGAAGAATATGCGTTCCTGGATGTTCCCGGCGGAGATCTTCAGCAGCACGCCCTGCATCAGCATCTCTGTGCAGCTGTCCGTGATGTTAGAGCCCTGAACAGCGAGAATACAAAAAGCATGAGGCTGCAGTAAACCTCGTTAGCGTGCTCACACTGATCTGCAGTAGGATTTGGCTCTGAAACATTATTCTCCAGCGCAATCAGGAAAGATTCTGCAAGCCACGATTCGTGACTCAGCATAGCTTGGACTGGGGCTGGGCCAAGGCCCTAACTGTCTTTATCAGACGCCGTATCCCACTGGAGACTTGTTTTTGGATGTTAAAGCAGAAAAGCATCACTTACATGCAAAAGATAACACATAAAGTGCTGATAGCACATGTTGCGAGTTGGCTGGACACCACATGGCTGTGAACAGAGTGCCGACTCCCTGCTTGCCTTGTCAAAAGAATTTATACTGCTTCTTTCTTCTCTTTCTGTGAATCAGTCATCACAGATAAAAATAGCACTTGACTCAAAGAGCCAGCAAAAGTGCTGAGCATTACATTACCGTCTGCTTCTCTCTGTATCCCTCTCTCTTTGTTCTTCTCTTCAACATATGTGGGGTTAGCCCTTAGAGGTCTAGAGTTATTAATTGCGTTGTGTTATATTATTCAAGATTAATTACTTGAGATGGCATGATGCCACTTTGTCTTTTACGATACTGTTTCAATCCTGAAACTTTGAGGGCTGGCCGTTACCGATCCAATATTCTCTCTTTAAAAACTACTAGTCAACTTTAAAATGAGCTATTTTTCATAAGCTTTCATTGAACTCCATCAAAACTTCAAAATTTCTACATTATTCTATCGTTAATGTGTAACCAAAGTCATTCAGAGTGGTCTGATGTGAAATGGTTCAATGTAGAGAAACATACTGATTTGCATTTCTTTACACTGGTGGTGATAGGAACCAGGGCTCAGCATGTCTTTAACACAAATGTAGCCATTTTATTTACCAGTGAGAGTGCTGAAGATGGTAAAACAGTAGTAAATCCTACAAAATAGGTTCTTAGGGGACTACTTTGCTTTACAATGCCCTGCATCTACCTCTCCAGCAAAAACGGCCAAAACTTTCTCAAAACTATCATAAAACAATGTCTCAAGCATCACCCAGTGTATTCATAACCATTTCATGTAATAGCTTACTATGAAGGAGCTTTAAGAGGCATTAAACTCTTCAGACGTCTGGTTCCCATCACCACCACAATGAACGTTTGTCTAGAGTGAGGCATTTCATATCAAACTACTCTGAAAGACTTACATTTACATTTATTTAAGTTTACATTTAATATTAACTATTTAATCATGCAGAACTGTAGAAAAATGGGTGGAATTCTATTTTTAAGATATGCATCTAAGAGTCATGCTAATCATGCTCAAACACTCTACTAAGCTAAGAACATCACATCAGCATTTTCTACTGATATCGACTCGATTCTGATACCTGGTAATGGATCGTTGCCATCTCCAGTAATAATGTCGATATATATTTAATTACATTCGATTCACATTTTGCATCAACAGGTTCAAATCTGCACCACTGTCTTTTTAAATAAATGTCATTCATAAATGACAGAAACTGTGTGTTTTTTTTCATTAGGCAAAACAAGACAATAATAATAATAACTTTTCATCAAATTCAAATTGTTACTGTCTCTGCAATGACAATGGCTACACTATTCTAATGAGCCCCTTAACTAATCATTGTCAATGTTTTATTGTGTCAAAATTGTATTATTTCAGGTATTCCAGATGAGTTATCTAGGTGTTTAGATGATTTGGTCAAAATGTAATGCTGGTTAATCTGAACATCACAATAACAGTTAACTAGTGTTTTTTCTATATACTATCAGTTACATCTTAATTGAAATATGTAGCAACAGAATCTCAAAATGGAATTTTGCCCATGTTGTGCAGAGAAACATGCATCAACCATCACATAAAGCATTTGTTCCATGAAGTAACACATTCAGAGAGCGCAATACACCAAAGCAACCTTCTTACACACTCTGCATCTGTTTCAGATAAATCTTCTTAATCCTTTTAACTGTCACATGAATAACTGGACTAAAAGCTGGCTCATGTGGAGCAAGAACACCACACATAACTCAAGCACAAGAACAAGTGCAGGCTAAACTGCCATCAAAAAAGCACTCTGCTTTTTTGGTCATCCTGAACCTGAAGTCACTAGAAGATGAGCTTTGATAAATCTTACATCTCTAAAGACTTTATAGAGAGAACAAAACAAATGCATTATCTAAGTTTTGCTTTTCAAATTTGCTACAGTCGAGTTGACAGAATTTTGTCAGGCTACAGTCGAGTTGACAGAATTTTGTCAGGCTACAGTCAAATTCAGACTGAATCGTGTTGGGCTGCAGTTGGGTTCAGTACGAATTCTACTGGGCTACAGTCGGGTTCAGACAGAATTTTACTGAACTACAGTCGAGTTCTGACAGAAATTTATTGGGCTACAGTCAGATTCAGACAGAATTTTATGGGTCTGCAGTCGGATTCAGACAGAATGTTTTTGGGCTACAGTCAAATTCAGATGTAATTTTGTCAGGTTACAGTCAGGTTCAGACAGAATTTTATTGGGCTACAGTCGGATTCAGACAGAATTTTATTAGGCTACAGTCAGATTCAGACAGAATTTTGTTGGGCCACAGTTGAGTTCCAGCAGAATTTTGACAGGCTATAGTCAAATTCAGATTGAACTTTGTTAGGCCCTAGTCAGGTTGGAAAAGAATTTTCTTGGGTTACAGAAAAGTCTGGTTGTAAACTTGGTGCTACAGGTCAGGCAGAGTCAGTCAGAGATTGTTTTAATCATATCAAAATATCATGCCTGAATTAAGCTCCACTGGACTTCCAAAGACAATTTGCAGTCTGCACACACTAGGTTCTCTTTTTCAGGTATTTAGGTGAGCAAAATCTATAATAATCAGCCAGAGTGAGCCACCACAAGTGGGTGACCAGACCATCTCTGAGAGGCCACTCAATGCTAAAGACAATCAGCAGGCTCTGGACTCCAGGATGGAAAGAATGACGCTGACTCTCTCTCTCTCTTTCTCTAATGTCCTATGTCACTCCACCCCACCACCTACACCCTCTGGATCCAGACAGTATCACTGAAATAACTCTTAGCACAGAGTTTTTAGCTGCAGAGTGAGTTAAAGGTTTGCAATTAATAAAAGCATTTAAAAAACCTTACCACTCCCAAAGTGTCCATTCACACATGTATTTTGATTCAATCTGAGGCAGAGTTCAGGCAAATTTCCATTAATGAACCACCAAAGGCTAAAACAGACACAGGCTCTGCTTCCAAGGGGCCATTCTGTAGTTCATAAAGTTATTTCAGGAAAATGACTGCGCTCAGAACAGCATGTACAACTAATTGATGACAAAAAAGTTCCTCAGAACATTCTCTTCACTCCATGGAGAAATTCATGTGGCAGACGTGGCTGCACAAACCGAATGTTTATAATTTCACGCCTACAAGAAAGGGTGTGTTACTGCTCCTAAGGCGTAGATATACTGGAAGGAAACCAACCATCTTCCACAGACATTTTATAACTTGAAATGAAACAAAGCCAGGCTCATTTTCAAAACCATGTCCTTCATAAGTCACTCCAGTATGTTTCTCTTGTAAAAACGTGACAGGCTGTTTCTGATTCCGCACTATGTTTTTACAATGCTTCGTGTGGACGTGGCTAAGATTGTTTCAACATGCGCTAACATTACATGGCCTTTTGTTTTCCACCACTCAGACGGCTGTGTGCATCTATTTTCGGACATATTTACAAATAGCTGTGGTCAGCAAGACAAGAACGCTTGACTAATCAAGATGTGGTGCTTAAATTGATGGTTCAGCAGAAAATCAAATTGACCCATTTATCCCCTTACTCCAAATGTACAGACCTCACAAGGACAGTGTATAAGTACAAAAAACAGATTGTGTAAATCCACTTCCACTTGTATTTAAATGAAAGCAGAACAAGATATTTAATGTTTTCCTTCATTAACTTCATTATTTTGTGTAAATTTACTGAATGCCTACAACATGTTCCAAAAAGTTGGGACAGGGCAATTTGAGGAAAGGAACACTGTTAAATGTTTCAAAAGACAATTTTAACAGGCGATACAATCATGCTGGGGTGTAAAAGGAACATCCAGGAAAGGCTTAGTTGTATGTACTACGCATAGCATAAGCCGTATTTCAAGAACATCCAGAAACACCACCGACTTCTCTGGGCTCAAGCTCATGTGAAATGGACTGCTGCACAGTGGAAACGTGCCTTTCAGATGGTTTATGGAAATAATGGATGTTGTGTGCTCTGGGCCAGAGAAGAAAAGGACCATTCAGATTGTTGCCAGAGTAAAGTTCAAAAGTCAAGGCTTGCCTGCAGTCCAGACCTGTTTCCCATTAAAAGCATGTGGAGCCTTATAAAGCATGGTTGTGCGACTGAAGACTGCACAGAAGAATGTCAAAAAATTCCACTTTCAAAACTGGATAAGTTGGTGTCTTCTGTCCTTAAATGTATGCATGCCCAAATTATCATCTACTTGCCTTGAACTGCATACAGCTGTATGACATACTGTAATCAACAAAACAATTCACACTGATGAAGCTTATTTATCCACCCTTATAGTTATCGCAATTCATACATGTATAAAGAAATAAATAACTGCAATTGGTTGACTGAAATTACTTGAGAATCTGATTAGGACAATACAATTGCTTAACTGGCTTGTTAACTTTCAAATAGCCCAACAAATAACCACATCCATTCCTAGTCTGCTTAAGTGTCCCCACTTTTTCTGAACTCTCCGTTGCATCCCAGACGGCTCACCCCACAGCCCTTATGTAACTTCCCCATAGTCTACGCTCCACATACCCCCAGCCAGCACAATCACTGCTATTGTTAGTCCCACGGCCGGTCACCCGTTATTAAGCGGGAAAGCTGGACAGAGAAGAGCAGAACTGGGGAATAGTACAGCCTCTGATCCAGAGGTCTGGTCTGCTGTACCTGCTACAATCTAGTGGGCCATGTTATCTCACGAGCTCATTTTCCACAATTTCTTCAGTCGAGCAGAGAGAAATTTGGGTAATAGTCTGTGTGCAAGGCATTTTAACATGGTAAATCTACACTATACTAAAACGCTTTATTTACTCAAATCAGGCTATTAAAGTCTGGTTTATTTCATTCAGTCAAATGGGCACTGTTACAGCTAGGACCAAGAATGAAGCAATTTATGAAGTGAACAGACTGTTCTAGCACATAACAAAAACTATTCAGCACATTTAGATGAGGTTTCTTTTCTAGATATGATCTGATACAAGAGAAAAATGAATTTCTTACAAGAAAGACCAGAAAAAGACGAAGTGAGAAAACCGACTGAGGAACTAGGTTTTGTGACAGTACTCATCTAAAGCAGTAGATGCTCAGAGCCCACCAGACGGTCTGCATTTTTGCTTGATCTCAGCTCAAAACACATAGAGCAGGAATGTGAACCTGGGGGTCCTGAGGAGCGGTTTAAGGACCATTGATCTACAGTACTGTTCAAAAAACTGGAATTGCTGCATAAAATTTCAGAATCTGTTTTCAATATAAAACTAATTTGGTTATAGAAAAATATTCAAAGTCATTCTGACATGCAAGCTGTGTGCAACGTCACAGGTTTCAAATCATTAGTAGAAAGCTGTAGGACATGAAGCAGTTTTAAATGTTGTGCTGCAGAAGCTTCTGAAATGACAGAGAAACCTGTATAAGAAAGATAATGAAGTTATAACAAGTTTTCAAAGAGTTAATTTGGATTGCAAATTCAACACCCACCATTTAGGAACCTTTATTTATTATTATTATTAGGAATGCATCTGAAAGAGAAGAATGTTGTTTAGACAATATCCTTACCTCCCATCCCTCAATGTGAGACTGCCACTCCTCCAGCACCTCCAGTTTCTCCATCTGCCTTTTGGCCTCGTTAATGCTGGAACACACCGCCTTCATCACCTGCAGGGCCTCCTGAACCAGGGAGTAGTCGTTGTGCTTCTTTGGCGTTCTCTTCAGCAGCTCCTGAACAGAAAAACATATCAAATACATACATTTCATTAAGTGAACCTACCCTGTACCTACACCCACCATATCGGTGCACTTTGTAGACTGCAACACAATTTATCAGGCCCGTTCAACCCCAACCACCAATGGAAAAGGACCACACTGGGCCACGGCATAACAATTATCACATGGGTAGCTACAACAACGCTAAATGGGCTAATTGTCAGTGGGGACAAACTGAGTGTGAAGTTTTTAAACCAATCCAAAGCCTTATGAATGCAGATTTCAAAGGTGGGGGCGGGGTGTGCTCGTCAACACTGCTCAATGGACAAAATGCCTGTCATTAGCTCATGGATGTAACATAAGTTAGCATAGCTGTAAAGTCTCCCAAAAAGTCAGATTTCATCAGTTATATTGTTTTGTTACTTTGTTTTGCTAGCTAGCTTGTTTTGCCTGTGTTATTGATTATACTCAGCACATTAAAAGAGTCCAGATTATAAGAATCCGGGGGCGGGGTTTAGAAGGGCCGTACCCTTCTTAGCAGGAGATTTCACCGCAGTCCAGCCCAAAATTTGCCCCTAGGCCTGCATTTTCCTATTGATGAAGGGCTAGAGCAGTGGTCACCTTCCTCCTGGCGATCTACTTTCTTAAAGGGTTTAGGTCAGGGGTCAGTAACATGTGGCTCTTTTACTGCGCTGTTGCGTCTCCACAGCAGAACTAGATTTTTAGGTAAAAATAAAATAATCCTCTTATTCATGAAAAATAAAGCTCTGCCGATCATTCTAACACAGGTTTAGCAATAAATGGTCTTAAACGCTGTAGTTAATGTAGCCTATATCTGCTAATTCACCTTTAACCCAGGCAAAGAGAAAGATTTAAGACAAACATCAATAATTTGGAGACCAGTGGACTTGGATTTGCATTTATAATCACTCTAGCTGGTTTCCTGATATGTTTAATCAGCAATGAGAAACTGTCAAACACTAAAAAGTCACGAAGCTGAAGCCAGCTTCTCGTTCGAATTTTCCCGTTCCCCTGTAAATGGTGCAGCAGTTACATTCCGGCGCCTCAGGTGTTATTTAAGGTGGAACGGGAAAATTAGAACAAGAAGCTGGCGAATGAGTAGCTGACTTCAGCCTTGTAAAAAGTCGAACGTCAAGAGACATTTTACAAGAAACTATTCTACTTTTGTGGAAAAGTTTGCTGCCGGAGATGTGAGAAAAGTGGCTATAGCTGAGCTGAAGTTTAAAGCAGAGCAAAGAAAGTAAGCGTTAGTTAGCACATATTACGACATATTTTCAAAATGGTAAAACGTTACTTCTATAAAATGGACATAAAATGTTGTGGCTCCCAAGGTGGTTTGATTTTTTTTGAAAGGACAAAATGGCTCTCCTTAACATTTAGGTTGCCGACCCCTAGTTGAGGTCCAACCTGCATCTAAAATGTTGCCTCCTCCTTTACCTAACACTAACGTATTAGATCCAGCCAATCAAGGACTTCTGGATTAATTAGCTGGAGCAGGTGTGGCAGATTGTGGTTGGGACTACACTCTGCTGGAAGTTAGATCTTAAGGACCAAGGTTGGTGACCACTGGGTAGAAGATGGCTAACACAATCTGTGCTTCAACAGATTTCAACAATTCAACTCAGTTTTAAACACTGCATTAAAATATAAAACTGTATCATCAGTGTGCCCCTTAAGAGGCTGAGGAGCTTATGCTACTCACACCCACATTCAAATGACTGGACAGTTTTTCTGAAGCGTATGTACATTCTATGTGTTATGGGTTTTTTGGGGGCCTATTTTGTTAGAGGATGGCATTGCAGGCATCAGAAAAGTGCTACTGGAGAATATTTATAGGGGCCAAACCAATCTGTGTAGTATATAATTAAAGCTCCATTATACTTTTAACACACAAATGAACACAAAATACATATTCAGATACTACTTCATTTTGCTATAAGCAGAAAACGTGTCATACTGAGACACACTGTATCATGTTAGATTTCATTTTACCATATTAGAGTTTGAACTTTGTGTATTGACACACCACTAAAAAATATAACAGGCATTTCTGAGCTAAACAAAGCTTTCTTCGATTTACACATGTTTAATAACCCAGCTACTGCATGGCATGGTCTGCTGGAACAGATCCTAATCTCTAAACCTCGTCTAAACACCAGAGCTGTGGCATGACAGCTTAACTCCAGCTCTCCGGTTTACGTTGGGGAGCTATCTGAGAAAGTGCAGATGGCTATCACTGGCATTCAGTGAGAACGGCCTTGGCAGTTCCAGCTGTGTGATCTCAGATGGAAAAGGCGAGAAAAAGTAAGAGATTGCGGTCTTGTTATGTGAACTGGCACTCGTGGGTGTTTACCATGAAGCGGAACAATTTAGGAAAAGTTTCTGGTTCAAAAATAAGCTCTGCGTTAGCAGGACTGTTCTGTTTATTTTCAAAAACAGAACGGTCCAAATGTAGTGAGCTCCATAGGACTGTTTTCGCCATCATTTTCACATTGCACGGCTGTGCTTAAAGGAGTGGAAAGAAAAGCAATCCACACAATTTTTTTCCTTACCCCAAACGTAGTTCAGTGAAATATCAGCTATATGAATGATGTAGCTAACACACAATGGAAGCTTATACCCCATCAATTAGCATCATGCATCTCAAATAGACTTTGTGACACTTTATGACATTCTGTTATCTACAAAAATGGAAAAAGTACATTGTATAGCTGTTGCACAGTAGTAGAAGCCTGAATTTTCTATACACATACTTGTTATTATAGATAACAGTATATCGTATAGTGTCAGAAATGACATAAGTAAGTCTATGACAGATCATTTAACAACTGCACACAGTTTGAGGCGTGATTCAGCCGTGCAGTTTGCACGAGGCCAATTGATGGGTAATAAGCTTCTGTTTTTGTTAGCTCGATTAGCCTTGCAGCTGTAGTGAGAGACTAAAGAAGCTTCAGACACAAAACATGTCTTGGCTGATTAATCTCAGAAGGAGAAAATTATTTTTCCTGAAATTTCCTCTTAAATCTGAAATATAGTAGAAGCAATACTACTGTATATGCATGGCCTAAGCCCTATTCAAACTGGATTAGTTTTACTTGGGGAGGTATCACAATTTAAGTGATTACCAATGAAATCCATGATTTTAATCCAAACAAGTCTGCAAAGTAAATTCACTCTTGTGAAATTCACTGAAATCGAACCTTCTTCTGTAATTGTAGTTCTGTTCAAACGTAATAACAAATTCTGGTAATAGACACTGGCACTTCTGTTTTTCGGTGACCAGGAAACGAGGGTAACCACTAAAATGGAGCTCTTGATACAGTTCCTTTATGCTCAGTTCAGAATTATGCTATTTCTATCCTGTTGGGCAGCATTTACTGTGCTGAATGAGCCCACTTTACCAGCCTAAGGCTATTCCATGTGGTATTAATAGGGAGTTTGTTTCTGTTGTTTGTTGTTTGTATCAGTTTAACTTTAAACTTAACGCTGAATTGAACATCTGGGCTACCTGAGGTTATTTGGGGAAATTACACAGATACTTCATCCTGCAAGAATTGGCCAGTCAAATCCCTGAGGCTGGCTTTACAAGGTGAAACTTCCATGCAACATAATTTCTGTGCAACTTCTTAAAGTATGTGAAAGAATTCTATAACAACTCAAGTTGCTCACAGCACATCTGATTAATCCACTAGTTGGCCAAATTAGCAGCTCAAATTTGTTGACACACCATATCATTCTCACTAGATAAAGTCATCTATAAGGTGTTGCAGCATTTTATAGCTTTTGTGTTACGTTGATTTTCCAGCTGTCACTGTTGTTGCTATCATTTATCTATCTAAAGTTCTTTCCTATACATTTGAGTCTGTTCTGTGTATGTTAAAAATGTAATTAATCAAAATTAATGTTAAAATAGCTATGAACACTGTACTCGATGTCTTGTTCATCCTGTCTTAGAAGCACAAGTTCATTGAGGAGAACATCTCACTTTCCTCTTCTGCCTTTGGAGCCCAAAGGAATCTGAGCTCTGTGTAAAATTAGAGCACCAACAGAGAAAATGAATAATCGAACGAAATATATCACTAAGATAAATGGTGGCGAAAGCAGCTGTTTAAACATCTGTTAGCATTAGCTGGCTAGTTGAACCAACTGTTTACAGAAATGTTAATTTCAAGAAAAAATTGTTGTTTTCATTGCGCAGGAAACTGACCATACTAAACACTACCAACCGTGCAGATGGTTAGCCAGGAGGATCTCCTCTTTTAAGTATCCAATAAACCGTCTTCTGTTTTAGTTTCTTGTCCACTGACCTGGTCAAATCAATCGTTTGAAAAAGTGTCGTTTGACAGGATCACATAATGTGTTACTGCCTTTTGATTGACTATTTCATGAAACTTGTTTCATAAAGATACTTGCAACTGTAGCAGCTGAGGTTCAAACGAGTTGCAGGACATCTTACATTACGCAACTCAAGTGCAATTTAGTTTCATGTTGGTTTCAAGCAACTAAAGTTGCATGTGATTTTCACAGTGTAAAGCCAGCCTTACAAATTATCTTACTGAACTCTGATAAAACTCAGCTCGAACAGGACTTTAGTCTGTTGACTGAAGGCTTATAGGAAAGTATTTTATAGCTATGCAAATAGGCAGTAAGGGGGATGAGGAGCCATTAGCGAGCCGATGATGGTTTTTCAAAAGCAGCTTCCACACATCCACACATCACAGGGAAACCTGGCTAAAGATGAAAGCAAAGCACAACTACTTCTGCAAGGTTTTAGATAAATGAGTATAATGACTGTGGTCAGAAGAACAATGGGCCATAATCAGAGAAATGAAGTGACATGAACTCACTCGGAGCAGCAGGGGGTACTTGCAGATCCTCTGGATGGGAGCCACCAGGTAGCCCTCCAGCGGAACCTCTATGTTCTTCCGTCCACCAAGCAGCATGCAGTTCTAATGGTTTATATTAATAAGAATAAAGTAAAAAAAACTTTGTGAGTAAATGTGAAGTTTAAAAGATTAAACAACAGATAAAAAAGTTTACGAATATTTGTTTCCCCACATCGTATGTCTACAAAAAATGTCAGTATCAGTATCTATTTAAAAACATGTCAAATCTATCCTGACCAAGCACGAGAACAACATTTAATAAAATAAAAACCTTTATCTAAAGGGAAATGTTGAAATGTAAGAAAAATTAAGCCTAATCAACCCAAATCGCTAAGAGGTTTATGCTGTTGATTTCACAACTTAGTCAAATACATCTCACAACTGACAACAGTGTTGTCCAGCACTTGTAGTCAGATTGGTTAAAATGCAAACTGTGGATCATGTATATTTTGTAATAACCTTTGAGGCTGTAATATAAAGTGACTGTGTTTCTGATATTAGTCACACTGTACAAAATAAAGTGCTTTAAAAATAAAAAAAATGTCAGGTCAAAAAATGTTACGTTCACTGAACTTCAAATAGAAAGTCATCAGAATTTAAGAGAGTGGTAGAGTTCTGTTTAATTAAAACTACTGATAACACTATAATAATAGCTCTGAATAAACAGTAACATGATAACTATTACTATATAAGTTTGTCAATTACTGTTAATAATTATGTAATAGCAACATATACATTAATAAATGTTATTATTGCCATTTACTTAGTAAGGTATGAAGAATAAATAATTATTATGTTGTAGAGATGTAATTATTATACTTTGTTAAGAATGATTACGCTATTCGATAATCATTACTCATATTCATAATAATCGTCATGAATCGGGCCCCTATTATAAAGTTGTGACCTCATTAAGACATATTACTTTTTCCTCTGAAATATAACACATTTCTGGAAAGCATTTACAGTGCTTTAATTATATAATTAAGAAAACAATTAATGATTCAAATGGTAGCACTTATTAATGCACAAGTATGATGATATAATTATTACCTATCATTAACATTTTTCAACTATCATTAGATAATGATTAGGCTGCTACTAATAGGAGCCTGTTTTAATAAGTGTTACCAAACTGTTTGATGGTCAACTGTTTGACCATCAAAAATGACATCAGTCAATATTACCAGTTATCGAAATTTTGGCTCCTTGAAATCGTTATCACTGATAAAATCTTCGTATCGGTCAGGCCTTACTGAGAACAATGATAGTTTACAGAGCTGCAGGTGCTGCTAAAGCTGGCCAGGGGAAACTCGAGCTCAGTCGGCTTCTCAAAACGTTACGGCCTGTTCAAGGTCAAGGCCATAAAACGTCCATTAAATCAAATTCAATTAAGACATACCGTTCCCAGCCCACAGCTCAGAGCCACACAGCAGCACTAAATCACACGGCATATAGATTTCCATTACTGTCCTTATCCTCCAGCTATACTGCTCTGCTTCCACTGACCCTCCTCATACAGTGTATCTGTAACGCGTCTGAAAGATAAACTCCAGAGAAATGTAAGTTTGTATTTTTAATCAAATCACAGAGGAGGGTGTGCGATGAAGCGCAAACTGATTTTATAGAGCTCTTAAGCAGGAACGAGTGACTGCTGCGCTCGACTGCGGCTATATGTGTGCGCATATGAAGGCAAGGTCAAAGGCATCATATTACAAAGCAGCCGATTCATGCAACACCCTTGAAGGGGCTTTCAATGCCCCCCAGAAGGTCAGGAGATGGAGTGGCTCACTAGCACTAACGCTGAGCTTGACCTGCAAGCAGTTCCCATAAACCTGAACACTTGCTCAACACTGGAACAGCAGCTCAACTCAGTGATCAGAAACGATCATCTGTATTAGTCTGTATAATGAGCCAACTTTTATTATTCAAACTGACATTACAGTATTAATCTTGTATTCATGCAGTCAAAAATAAACAGTTGTATACTTTTCTTAATAAATGAACTTTAATCTAAAAGCTTAATTTAATGAAGCCACAGATTTCTGTTTAATCAAATAGAGCTGAGTCAACTAGTCATTGATGTTGGGACAAAACCTTGTATCTCCATTTTTTGACCTAAACATGCTCCACCCACAAATGTGCTCTTTTGTAGCTACTGCTGTCGGCTTCTGCATTATTCACTGTGAATATTTATTTTGTATGCGTTTGAATGGTTACATTGTTAGGGTACATAGGGTGTTGTGTTTGTGTTGTGTAATCGAGTTAACGTTAGACTGTGGGTAATTTGTTTCAAACCTGCCTGGTTTTGAATAGCTATGATAACGTAGTAGCATAATGCAGAATTTAAACTGAAAATTTAATGTTATGTAGTGACCCTTGCCATCAGAACAACAGGGGTGGGCTGGCATTTGACCGAGCACTTTAGAAAGCACTCGGGCGATGCCCCACCACTTTTTGAATCAGTTTAGGCTGCATACATAACAATTACTATCCTTAACCTCGTTAATCTATAGACATGAAACAGAAAGTCAAACAACTGGCAATTAAAATCTTCTTTTTGCTGGGGGACAGGACATTTTACAAAGAGTGAAACCTGTGGCATTTTGGTTTTCCTGTGATTTATGAGCTAAAGTTTATGCACTTGGTTGCAGTTTAAGCTACCACACTGTGGGAAAGACAATAAATGTCAGTTGCAGTCTTTTTACTATTAAATTGCTAAGCTAAGATATGATGCTCTTCACAGATGTTAGCTAGCAATGTTAACCAAGTGAAGCTTGCAAGGTCAAAGCAAATAACATGACATTGGTCATTTTAAGGTTGTTATGGCATGTTACTACATTAAAGCTATGCTCTAGGATAAATGTATTGCTGGAAGTAAGTCAGTGGGTATTAGTTGCCCAGTTGTCACAGAAAGAGAAGATCAGCCCTCTCCTTTGTCACTGATAGTTTCTCCTTATGCTGAATGGGATTTTTGCCAATGTTCTGTAAAGCTTGTCCGACCTCGCAACAGTAGTTACGGAGGAATGCATTCATGGGCACAGAATGGATATACAATTAATGTCATATTTTCAGTCTGTAAGTCAAAAATACCACTTCATATTTTACTTGTCATGAGCAGTGACTCCTTTGAAGTAACACTGGTCTAAGATTCATACAGTACTGTGCAAAAGTCAGAGACTACCCTTTATTTATTCATTTGATTTCTTGGCAAAACAGCCATTAACGTTTTCAGTATTTAGTGTGTCCACTCTTTACCTTTATTACAGCTTTCATTCTTTTCAGCTTTCAGTTTTTCAAAGAAATCTACAGGGATATTTTTCACACCTCCAATGTTTAGTCTTAGAAGTTGATTTTACATTTTCTGCTCCTCATGTTCAAAGTAATACCAAACATATTCAGTAATGTTGAGGTCTGGACTCTGGGATGGTCAGACCATTGTTCTAAGAACATCGGCAGCTTCTTTGTTTGATTGTCTGTTTCCTTTTCTCGGTAAGGGCTTCTTGACAGCTACACATCATTTCATATCCATAGCATTGAGTCGTCTTCTCACAGTGGAAGGATGGACAGAAACACCTGAGAGTGGAGCTTGATTTTCTCCTAGAAGATTGTCTTATTTCTAATCTCCTCAGAAATGTCTTGAAAATAGATAATGTACCTAATGCAGTGCCTAATGTTTTAAGATTTGTATTAAAACCGGAAGAAGCAGCATTACTGAGTCAGGAGAAAAAAAGGCTATAATATTGTATGCCTGTGCTGTTGCAAGTCGCCCTGTAAAGCCAGAACGATCCACGTCATATGTTAACATCACACACACAGGCTCAAAAAGGTCCTGCTTGATGTTTAGGTCTCAACGCAAAATCAACACTATACCATGAAGATATAATGAAAATTTCTGTTTGAATCCTCTTTCAGTGCACTCGCAATCATCAGACTCATCCACTTGGTTTAAACTAACATAGTGTAGCTTTAATGGCCGTTTTTACTGGAAATTAAATAAATGATGTCTCTGATTTTTCCACAGCACTCTATGTTAACACTGTGTATGTGTGAGGTTCAGGTGATTCTTACCAGAAGACACGTGCGAACGCTCCTGATCTTATTGAGCTCCAGCAGCAGCCTCTGGGCCTTTTCGTGGTTTCCACAGTACTCATCATAAATCTGAAACCTGTCTCTCTGAGGACACACATACACACACACACACACACACACCACACACACACACACACACAGGTAAGTTCCTCTGAAGCTGCACTACAAACAACCACTCTGCCCATGACTTCACAGTCCCCTCACGTGCTGACTGTCCGGACATTTGTGTCCAGGATGTGGAGGAAAGTCAGATATACAAACAGTTTCCAAACCCAAAACAAGCTCCTATGGGGGACTGCCACAAAAAGATTTTCTTCAGTTTTTACTTTGCCTCTTAATCGCTGGCGATGACAAAAGCAGAGTGTAATTTTATCTGATTTATTTCTCACTCATAGCTCACTGAAACAAGCTGAGACATTATGTGGAAAGTGCAGATTCTAAACTTTCAATCCATACCACATTTGTGTTTGTAAGTAGAAGAGGAGCTTTTTAATTATGATCTAAATTTGCTAAAATTATTGTTCTGTGTACAGAATTGTTTTTGTGATTTTTTGTCATGTTTTGGCATCAAAACAAAGAGAAAACAGTCAGAATTGCAGACTCAAAGCTGCCACCACAGAATGTAAATCAACTGAACACCTAGTTTGTTTCATGACTATATGATTATGTTACTATGTAATTACATTTAAACTGTAGCCTATAGCAATATCTTATGGAGTAATTAACTTATCGTAAATACTTCTGAAGTAGTTATATTTAAAATAATAGACTAACAGAGTACAAAACAGATTAGTGTTCTGTTAAAGGGGAATTCCACATCACCAAGTCATTCAGCATGGTTGGGTGTCAAACGATTCATTGTAGAGAAACTTTCCAACACAGATTTCTTTACAGTGGTGGTGATAGGAACTATTTTTTTACTATTCAAAACCATCATTGAACCTAAACATATGTTCTGATATTTTTATATGTGTTGTTGATAATAGTAACATAGTAGTAAATCTGGAATACATTTTCTTTGGGAACTATTTTGCCTCATAATGCCATATACATACCCCTCCGTCATGAATGGCTTTTCAAAATGTAAGATTTAGGCCAAATTCTTACTGCAAAACGTTTGTAAAATAATGTCTCAGACACCAGGCAGCATCTTTATAGCCATATAATGTAATAACTTTCTGTGAGGGAGCTTTTAGAGGCATTAAACGCTTCAGACGTCTGGTTTCTATCACCACCACTGTGAACAATTCTGACTCGGGCCGTTTCTCTAGAACAGAGCATTTCACATCAAACCACTCTGAATGATTTGGTTTACATCTTAGTCATTTAATTATGCAGAGATTTTGAAAAATCGGTGGAACTCCCCTTCAACTTGCTATTAAAAATTTAACTATTCAAAATTTTAAGGCAGCCAGATTATTCACTTTTAAGATAAAACAACAAATAATTTTTAAATTATATGATACTTCATAAGCAGTTCCAGTTAATGGATAAGAGTCAGGCTCTACTATTTAAATGCAATAACACAATTACATAATCAGTGTCATGGTAACGTACGGAATTACAATTACAATCTTTGTTTTATATTCTTTATTGACAGGTTTAAGTTTACAACAAATCTAGTGTAATAGTTACTGAAGAAACGGCCACTTTGGCCAGTAGCAGAGAAATTCTCCAGGCTCTCACTGACCAGGCTTACTAACAAAAATAGGAGTGGTTTGGGGTCATGATTACTAAATAAAGTTTTAAATTATAGCTGGCATTAACAGATGGAGCTGTCATCTATTCACAGGCCTACCACAGCAGAAATGTCCATTTACCCTCCACTACATGCTGTTATTATCATACCGGGATGTCTAATAGAGAATTTTTGCACAGGACAAACTGCATAAATACAACATTGCAGATTACAGTATGTTAACACAGCACCGGAACACCATATAATCCAATGGGGCTCTGTGCAGGGGCTTACAACGTAAATGTCATGACCAAAAGTGTTTATTTCTGCTGTGTGAGCTACTCTTCCTCATTAATGACATGATTTCTCAATACTGTGTTTGCATTTATTTTGAAAAGTAAAGTGCAGGATCTAATAAAATTGAAAATGTATGAATTTGTAGTTGGTTTGTGCCACAAATGATCTTCACAGTCAAGGTGGCTTTTATTGTTTTTCAGATGAAACAGACCAATGATCAATGTTTCCATCCACAGCGATGCGAACCAAGTGCTGAATGTGTCTCGGAAACTATCGCTGTGCATCCAACAATACACCCATTCATTCATTGCAAAACAATGAATATGGAGGCAACATGACTGAAAGGCTTATGGTAGACCCAAATGATGTGCTGCATTTTGATATAAAAACGTTTATTAGCAACTATCAGCTCCCAAAGGCCACGATACTGCAACTAGCTGTCCAGTAATGACTTTGGAGATGCCAATGAGGCATCATGGGGCTCTCTCAGTAAAGGTGCAATTAACTGATACACTTTTTTTTGCCGAAAGTAATTTTCAAAGTGAAGCTGCTGATATTGTGCAAATTTCTCAGCCGGATATAAGTCACTCTCAAACGTGGCTACAGGGACAACAGGGCCGAGCAAGCAATTGATCCACCATTTTGCAACACACTTTTTGAGCTTGTTTGTTGGAATTTAAAAAAAAAAAGCCTAACTGCATGGACCACTAATCTATAGACAAGAACAGACAGTCAAACTTGAATCAAGCAAATCAATTAAAATCTCCATCTCAGAGTGTGTGTGGGTGCGTGTGTGTGTGTATGTGGGGGGTGTTCCAAACAGCTGCTTTGTTACGTAGCCCAGTGCTCTTCCAAATATTGCCATGTTTTACTAAATTTGTGATTATGTGTAATTATTCTAATGTCATATGTTGTTTTTACTGGCACAAGCCTACTCACTGCCAAAATAAATAGAGACTTTTTCACAGTGCTGTATATCAACACAATTCTTGCCAAAAGAAGTAAACTGAAAGCCAGTGATCATGCATGTAACCTGTTTTACTGACGCACAGCCACATTTGAATCACCTAAATTCAAAGCACTGTTTTTTCGGTCTAACTCAGGACAGGACATTTCTGTTACATGGCTTACACATACATGTGGAACATTCTGCCTGTGCGTTTTCACACAAAAGAAGACAAGGCTCCCAGGAGAGGCTACAAAGAGGGCAGGATGAGAGGAATGAGGCCCAGCAGAGGGACAGGAACCGAACAGCTGCACCTACAAATCCACTCTGCTTACACTCTCTGTGTAATAAAACATGTGGCTATAGCTCTGGATTTTCACTCACACCGTAACTCACTGATAAAACACAGCAGTGGTCAGCACTGGGCAGAACATGTACTACCATATACATTCTGTAAAGAATACACAAATATCCTACCGCAATCTGGAATACACTCCATTATAGTTGCACTGCTATGAATAATCTGCATCTTGAAAGACAAATAAAGTCTGTCTGCCTGTCCTATTTATCTGCTGTCTGTCCCTGAGAAAGGGTGCGAATATTGGTTTGGAATAACAATATACTGCTGGAACAAAACTTTTGTTGGAACAAAAATCTGTAAAAATTGATCTTTACAAGAAGACGTAAATTTGTTCTTAACTTTTATTGGAACTTAATAAAAAAAAATTTTATTTTAAGACATTTCAGACATTCATCATAAATTTTGACTCAAAAAATAAATAGAAAATGACAAAAATGAAGATATTTCTATTCTACGTAAATAAATAAAAATACGGTACAAATTAACAAGAATTTCTTGTTTTCAAAAATTTTAGTTGATATCTTGTGAGCTACACTCTTAAAAAAGATGGTTCTTCAAGGGTTATTTAGTTATGAAAATGGTTTCCTATAGAACCATGAACACTCAAGGAACCTTTGCATGATTAAAGGGTTCTTTGCATCGTGAAAGGGTTCTTCAGATGGATGGAGAATGTACTGTAGAAGGTTCTATATAAAATCTTTTTGAAAAGCATTCTATACAGCACCAAAAGAGGTTCTTCTATTGTGACGATGTCAAGCTTGTAATAATAGCAGAAGCCTTTTCAAAATGAGGTTATGAGGTTTTGTAACGACAGTGTAAAAAAAACCTGATAACCCCAGAGAGGTGAAAGGTTTGCCCTTCAAAAATTCTTTTTGTCCATTTATTCTTAATTGGTCAAATGATGTAAAGGGCAGCTACCACTTTCAAGTGGTCTCAAAATCAAATATGAAAAAAGTGAGAGTTACGAGGCAGCGATCTGTACTGAACAGCAGTGACAGCCGCGATATGTACTGAAGAAGGGATAAACGATTACACCAGCAAATCTCCAAAAGGAAATTAAATACAGATACCTGATCTGAAACCTAAAGTGCCGTCTTTCTCTAAGAGAGTGTATATATAGTACATATGGAGTACAAATATAGCACATGCAAATAGATAGATAGATAGATAGATAGATAGATAGATAGATAGTTAGATGAGAGACAGAGAGAGAGAAAATGAGATAGAGAGTGAGAGAGAACAAAATAGAGAGACAAAGAGAGAGAAATAGAGAGAGTGCAAATGGAGAGAGAGAGAACATATGTGAGAAGGGCAAATAAGTGTGTGACGCATGGGGACTCACAAAGTGCAGGAAGCATCGTCCCACTTCATGGTGCGGATGGGGGTCCGGCTGCAGCAGCTCCTCTACCATGGCCAGGAAATCTCTATGCACAATCAGAATCTCCTCCAGATTAGAGAATAGCACCTACAGAGCACACAGGGACACAAATCTGTCTTAAAATGATGATTCGACCAAAAATTGAATGTACACAATTAGTCTTGCTTGTGGTTTGTGACACTCCATGACATACTGTTATCTATAAATATGGACTAAAATACATAATTAAAAGCAGGAGCGGCAGTAACATTGAAGTGTGAATTTTGTCTGTGTGTTTGCGCATGGCTGTAGATAACAGTGTGTCATACAGTGTCAGAAACCTCATAAGGAAGTCTATTTGAGATTACTTAACACCTTGACACAGTTTGAGGCAAGTGTGATGGCATGCTGTTTGCATAATGCTAACTGATGAGGTAAGTGTCCATGACTTGTTAGCCACATCAGCCTCATAGCTCCAGTGCAAAACTAAACAAGCAAACTTCAGACTTAAAACATGTCTTGTGTGATTGACTACATCGCCACAGCCATTCATTGCCAGAACAAAGATGAACTAAAGTAAATCAATCTACTGCCAAACACACTACTGTAAATATACTTAAAAAGAACTCAATGTATGTCTTAGCACCGCTAGAAGCCTGTTTAATGCAGTGGACCAATCATAGTCTCAGGGAGGTCTCAAAATAAACAACGTGGTGATTAGGACCAATCACAATCGGTGTAAGGTCTCGGAAACAAATAATGCAGTGATTAGGACCAATCACAATCAAGGAGGAAGATCTCAGAACAAACAAGACAGTGATTAGAATCAATCACAGTCAGGGGGAGGTTTCAAAACAAACAATGTGGTGATTAGGACCAATCACAGTCAAGGGGAAGTCTCAGAACAAACAAAACAGTGATCAAGACCAATCACAGTAAAGGAAAGATCTTGGAAGAAATAATGCAGTGATCAGGACCAATCCAAGGGGAGGTCTCAGAGCAAGCAACGTGGTGTTTAGGACCAATCACAGTCAAGGAGGAGATATCAGAACAAACAAGACAGTGATTAGGACCAATCACACTCAGGGAGAGGTTTCAAAACAAACAATGTGGTGATCAGGACCAATCACAGACAAGGTAGGGGGAGGTATCAGAATAAATTAAGAAAAATGACGTGGTGATCAGGACCAATCACAGTCAGGGGGAGGTCTCAGAACTAATATGCAGTTTCATTCAACTCTGTAAGACTGTAAAACTGCACACACTACTACGTAAAATAAACCCAGGTATAATAAAGCCAGGCATACACTACACAGCTTTTAAAATCCTCACAGATTTCAAAGACATCAGTCTTTTACAGAAGTTTTGTCATGAAGGTGTGCAAAAAGAGGATATCACACACTTAATGGTATCACACACATAATAGAGTTTCAGCTACGAGAAAGCACTTAAACTGCAAATCTCATTATTGTCACATTATACAAACAACGCTAAACTGGACTGGACCTGTTTTTTGCTTTTAAGTGTAGCTAAAATACCATCCGGGGGATGATATTTGGTTGAGAATTACAGATATCTCAGAGAAAGCTGAAGAAATACTTCACTACAAACTGTCAGATTACTTGAAATTGTAAAACGAGTGATGGCTGGATCCAAACATTATAAACATTATAAAAGCTTTCATCAGCCTGTGTTCAGGATACAGCTCCTCTATCTCCACAGTCCACTGTACACCTGATGTGTATACACATCCCTTTGCCCTTTTTTCTCTCTCATAGCTCTCTAATTGGCTGTTACCTGAATCAGTCATACTGAATAAGCTGTAAAAATCAAGCCTGTTTGAAAACATTGGAAGGCCAATGGTCACCAGAGCTCACAGGGCTAAAGACGGACTTATTTCCCTCCTACCAGTTAATTCGCACTGTTCATCACTTATGATCGCGCTTCCAACCTATAAAATTGCATAAGAATGTGAACAGTTGTCGGAAGGGTCAAATCAGGCTTAAAATTGGGTTGTAATAAAGGCCCATCTTAAGCCTTTACTAAGGAATTTCCAGCAGTGGGGTAAACCAAGGTTTCAAACATTAGAGACTATCAATACATGGCAGTCATGAATGTAAGAGTTTATTATACATATTCATACAGAAAGCAGACATAAAGGTTCATGTAGGCTGCAAGTTTGGCTTGGCTTTCACACGCTCATGTTAGTAAAATGGAGAAACCGTGGGCGGAACAGTCTGGCACTCAGACTCTCCAGCTTTGAGACTATAGAGCAGGGGAGACTGTGCTGCAGATAATTAATGACCGTGGTTTCCGTCTGACATTCCGTCCATTTGACTGTCATGCAAATCGGTCAATTACAGAATTTTTTTGCGACATACCTGTAATAAAAACAAACGGCCATTATATACAGTGGAGTAGCGGTCGGTAAACGCACATCAGATTACTATCTGCGCTTTCAAAGAACATTCAGCAATAAAGTCTTAAAACAGGACAGCATGAATGTTTTCTGGTTTCTGGACTATATCCCGCTCCAAAAGGCTTTTCTATAGAGATGCAAGTGCTTGCTACTAGCATTAAGCCTGACACACAATTAAAAAGAAGTTCATGGAAGTGCGGATAGCCAGGGTGGGTTTAAATTCTCAGTGAGAGGTGAGTTTCTGAGAGTTGTGGTGATTTTAGCGAGCGGTTTACATCAGACAGTCTGTGTAACTCTTCGAACCTAAAACTTACTGAAATACAACATAAACTCTTCTGCAGTGCGCGCTGCACCTAAAACCACAGCATCTGTCTCCCCAGCCCCTATTAGCAAACTAGTAGCAAAATACTTTCCACTAACATTGCTTAAGTTTTTTTTTCAATATACTAAAAAATACTTTTATGAACGGCTTGTAAAAATTAATAGCCATGCAACCTCCACCATATGACGCAGCCCTAACATGCACCAAAATCACCAGCCCTCAGCCGTTCCATGTTTATTCCCCAAGCCCTCGCTAACCATCACCAGCACTCAGTCCCGGTCTTGTGTTGCATTCTTTTTCTCCTCAGCCTCCCCCAGCCGGAATAAGCTATAAATAGAGCATGTTTACAGCCGCTTCCTGTATTGGCCCTTTTTTCTTCCTTCATGCAAAATTTTTACTATTTCAAGCTGAAAGAGTCCCTCAAACGAGCCGGGCTTGATTTGGTCCCGACTGTCATTTCCGGCCTTTTATTGGATTACACTGTGAAAACACCATTTGTGTTATGCATCCAGCTAAAAGAAGCCTTCTTTAATGTGTGGGTTTATAAATAGTTGAATTTCCTGTGTGCAGCATTGAAAAATTTAGTAAAAAACCAAGAAAAACAACCTACCTTAACAGTCTCTTCAGTGATGTTCTTATCGATTTTAGTGGCGGCATACTGGTTGAGTCGATGAAGAAACACCTGGTAGAAAAGAGAAGAAAATGGAAATGGTTAGGTAGGTTCACATACTGCACTACAGTAAGCTGTAAGCCACACAACAGTACTGATGTCAGACTTGTTCGATTTCTTTTAGTATCAGTACTTAGAACATACCAATTCATCAACTTCATTAATGCAAAGTTAAATAGTATCAGATTCCATGAAATATGTGGAAAATATTATGATATTGATTTTTATCATTACTGCCCAGCACTACCAACCACATGCGTCTAAAACAGAGCAAATGGAGGGCCAGCACTCCAGCGCTTTTCACTCTAACTAATATATGACTTTCAGTTTAAATAACTCTGTTTTTGACTCATGTCATGCGGGCAACGCTTTGCAAAATGCACAAGAGCAGGTGCAGCAAAGACAGACAGTCCAAAACAGACAAAATATAAATGTGGGTTAAATTTATCTTGGCAAACAGTTCTGGTTTGGCAGTAAACCAATTTAGTCAGTATTTTGCAGTTGGCAGCAAAGTGAGACTAGCTAGCCATCGCCTTGCTAATTAAAGCAGAATTCCACTCATTTTTCAAAAATTCTGTATAATTAAATGGTTAAGATGTGTTTGATGTGAAAACCTTCAATTTTAGAAATATTTCCAGAGTCACAATTGATTCCAATAGTGGTGATAGGAACCAGACGTCTGGTTATTATCTGGTTCCTACCAATCTGAGCTATCGACTGGATCTCAGATGGTGTCTCTTCACTGATATGCAGTATGTGTAGGATCATAAAACACATTTTCTGTTAATCTGAGGAGAACCTCTACAAAAACACCAACACTTTACATTCACTTCATGCAGTTACTGAATAATTTGCCTCAAGATTTTGGACTAATACATATTTTTTTTTAAACCCATCAGTGCTGGAAATACACGTAGCGTGTTGTGAGGCAATAGTGCCCAAATATTATTATTATTATATTTTTCTTCAATTTTTTCACCGTGTTACCATCATCAACATTACATATAAAACTCAGAAGACATGAGTAGGATCACTGGCGATTTAAATGAAATGGCTATATTTGTGTTGTAGACATTGTGACCCCTGGTTCTTATCACCATCACTGTATAAAAATCTGAGTCTGTAAGTTTCTTTACAATGAAACCATTTCACATCAGACCACTCTGAATGACTCTGTTTACATTTCAGCCACGGAATTAGGCAGAATCTTTGAAAAATTGGTGGATTTCCCCATTAAGTCTAAGACTCATACAATTTAAGGCTAGCAAATGTCAATAATAAACGCTCCATTTAATAAAGCTCCATTTAGTGTTGCTTCACCAGTTTCACTGAAACCGGGGGAAACAACCATTGAAACAACACTGAAATGTGAAAAAGTCTGCAAGTCAAAAACTTAAAGCCAGACACACTAAATACAGTTCATTACCCTTCCTATATGAAAAGGAAAAAAGCTGTTTTATGTACTAGGGGTTTCCAAAAAAGGTTCTAAAAGATTCAAATTACAGATAAAATATATAAAAGACACCAAGTAAGGTCAGAAGTAGGAATATAAAAGAACAGGAAATTAAGTGAATAAACATACAATAAACAACAGGAGCATAAAAAAGACAAATATAAACAGAAAGGGCACATTTGACCAATGTCACATAGAGGAGATGAAGAGAGAGAGAGATGATATGAATATAAAAAATATCAACCAGAACTGAATAATCAAAGAACCCAGAGAAGTGCTGTCTCATTCAAACAAATGAATCTGTCCCTGAGTCCAAGAAGTCAGACAAAACCTATTAAAGTATGCAGAGTCAAATCTTCTAAAGGAGAATGTTGACAGGAGGCTGCACTGCATTCATAGCTTATCGAGTCCATTCATATCTGCACAGCTAGCACAACATCAAGCCTCCTGTTTCATCATTAACAGTCAGGGTCAACCGAGTCATCATTTTTGGGTTATAAATATCTCAAATGGGGCAAAATATTTTGGTTTTGGTTTTAAATCTTGCTGACCTTTTGTAAATATCAGCAAAAGTGAAACTGACTCATTCAGGAATGCTGAATTCACAAATTGGAGCACACCCAGTGTCTAAGCTTAGGTATGGGATGTAATGTGATGTAAAACAGTCTCATTCATTTCCGAAATGTGTGAAAAAAATGCATACAAGATTATATTATTATAGTTCCTGGTGGTTTACTTCAAAGAAAAATATGTCTCATATTTGTGAAAAAATATTGATTTGACTGTTGAAATGTTGAATGTTTAAGTGTGACCTGTTTTTTCCACAAAAATGCCTACAGACATTCAGAAATGAGGCAATTTGGCATTTAATATTTAATATATCAAAGCTACCATTTTCAGACTCTTTGTCCCCTTTAACTGATTAAAATCTGCCCTCCAGAGTAATTGGTGAGCTGCGGGTCCATGTTGGTCAGTAAAATGGATCAGCATGTCAGAGACCACGTTCTCTATCACTACAGTTACATGCAAAGGCCATAGCTGGTTGATTCTCTAAGTGAAAATGAGTTAACACATCCTCTACAAAGAACAAACTTATATATAACATTTTAATGCACATTCAAAACATAATATGTGACAACTTTTGCACAGGCCATAGTTTGTTCTTTTCTAAATATGTTAAATTTAGCAAACAAACAGTAGTCGTTCTTTAAAATGTGCAGTAGTATGTTCTCTGTAGAGGATGTGTTAATTTATTTTCACTTAGAAAATCAAGAAAACCTGCAATTTGACCAGGGCGGCACAAACTTCTGCATACGACTGTATTGAGACAATCCGGCAATCCATTCAGAATCTTTATCTCAAATTAAACATTTTAAATTTTAAATCTTTAAGTGGTTAAAATTTGCCCCCAGAGTATTTGGTGAGCATGTATGTCCATGTTGGTCAGTAAAATGTACTACTACTGTGTTTCCTATCACTATATAAAAGAAGCTCCATGCTGCCTTTATTGTTGGATGCACTATTTCTGAACAACACATTCAGAACACAATTCACATCACTATGGAAACATGTCTTATTGATTTGTTTCATCAGAAGTAAAACCAAAAGCCCACTGAGGTATGAAGTATATTCCTATTCATGTTTTCTTGCAGCAAAATGGTAGTTTGTGACAAACTAAATTAAAAATATAATCTTCTCAGCTTTGTTCTTTGCATCAAAATAAACACATTGTAAGCATAAAGGAATCACATTACACTGCAAAAAATACTTCTCGTCATAAATCTTGTCAAGTAAACTTATCTTAAATCTAGTTGATATATCCAGTATTTCTCCTGTTGAGATTGTGGTAAGCTTATTTTAAGATTTTTTAACTTATTTCCAAACATTTTTTACTTGTTTTAAGCAATTTTATTAAGTAATATTATCTCACTATATTAGCAGATAATTTTGCTTGTTTTAAGAAATGTGCTTGAAATTTACTTTTAATAAAATTACCTAAAACAACTAAAAAAATTTTGGTCAATAAGTAAAATAATCTTAAAATAAGTGCACAACCATCTCAAAATAAGAAATATTAGATATATCAAATAGAATTAAGTAAAGTTTTACTGTACAAGAAACTATTTTTACAGTATAGAAGAGGGGATGAAAAGTCAGCATTCATCCTAAAGAACTAAACTCATTATTCCCTTATTATCCCTAAAGCTTGATACTCAGAAACTACTATAACTTATTCTGTAACCACGATGAAAGTAATATGAAGGTTATACAGTTACAAGACTGAAGACCTGAAGCGTGGAAGCACCCACAGTTCCTTATTGCTTAAGTGTTTAAACCAGCCCACATATTTAACAGGCAAATGGTAAAGCAAACAGGACAGCCGTTAGAGATCTAATGAGCTGAGACACATCATAGCAAAGCTGGAACACGTCACGCCTCCTTTAGCACATCACTCCGGCTAACAGGGCCCGATAGCATGTCCATCAGCCTGGGGATGAATTTCCGCAACATCTTAACATGATTTACGTGCACTGTCATTTAAATAGGCACCAAGCATATGCTAATTAAGCTCCTTTAGGACGACAAATAAACCACAAGCTGTTGCAACTGAGGGCTGGATCTTGAGATGTGAAGGCATTCCCATAGCCTTAAAGGAATTCTCCAGTATTTTTAACCATATCTCTATCTGCTGTATTTGTAGCATGCAGTCGATTATCATTGATGCATTTTCCTGTGAGCAGCAAAAGAACAGAAAAACAGTTAGAAGCTGAAGCAGCTGCCCATTGACTTCTATTATAAATCAACAAGTTTTCTGTTTATTTCTAAGTACAGGGAAAACACTGACCACCATCAGGGAAGTAGCACAACCAATTAGACAAGGGGGCAAAATAATTTACTGACTTATTATCTTCACCCAGTGTATGGATGGTGATACAGGAAATATTACGTTAATAGGCTAGCATATTAGTATATGTTAGCATAGAACTAATGGGTCCAACTTAAAGGGGAATTCTACTGATATTTCAAAATTTCTGCACAATGTAATCAGTAAGATGTAAACAAAGTCATTCAGAGAGCTCTGATGTGAAATGCTCAATTCTAGAGACATTTACTGTAAGAATAGTTCACAGTGGTGGTGATAGGAACCAGACGTCTGAAGAGTTTATTAATATAATTGTAAATGTCTCTACAATGAACAATCACAATATTTTGAAATTGAGAATTCCCCTTTAAGCTAAATTTCACTTTTTTCTTTTAGACATTAAAAATCAAGTTGGGATAAAAAGCTTTTGATATATATTAAAAGAAAATGACCCAAACTAAAAACGATAGCATGCAGCTACAGTCATATGCAGAAGTTTCAACACCCCTGGTCAAATTCCATGTGTTGTTAACACATCCCCTACAGAGAACACACCTAAACATGAACTTTTTATGCTAATTTTAGTGCACAGTTTCTGTTTATATGCTGACTTTAACATATTGGAAAAAATAAAGCATTTAACATAAAATGTGCCATGACCTTTCCACATTTTATGTTTTATTTTTTCCAATATGT